TGCCCTGCTCGTGTGGCGAGCTCCGACGGCCATGAGGCATTGCCGAGCGGTCTAGGGCCACCCGCCCTGGACGAGCTCTACGCCAGCGTCGCGGCGCTGATGGGGGAGGACTTGGGCGGCTTCTTCGACATGGAGCAGGAGGACCTGATGAAGTGCGCGGGCCGCGGCGAGTCCGCCCGCTTCCAGGAGGGAACCATCAGCGCCAGCAGGCGGAGGACGCGCGCCCGCGGCTCCCCGCAGGCGCGCTCCTGGCACAGGATCGCGGCGCTGCTTTGGGAGATGCTGGCCAGCAGGCGCCGCTTGCGGGCGCCGCACCTCGTCTCGAGGGAGCTGGACGTGCTGGCGCGGCTGCAGGCCAAGATAGGCAAGCTGACTGCGCAGGACCTGGTTGGCGACATCGGCCTTAATTTCCTGTCACTGCTGGTGGGTCGCTCCTTCGCCACGACGCTGTTCCGCGTGATGCTGGTCGAGCCTTTGGACGCGATGCTGGCGGCCTGGCAGAGGGCGCGTCCACATTTGTTGGTCGACGACATCGCGGCGGCGGTCTACGCCAAGCGAGCGCAGCTGGAGCATCTTTTGGTCTGGGCCACCCGCGCCCTCTGCTTGGACCTGGAGGCCATCGGCTTCGTCGTCTCCTTGACGAAGGGCCAGGTTCTGGGCACAGACTCCGACATCGCCAAGGGGGTCGCCCACAGGCTCAGACGATGGAGGTTCACACGCGTGAAGGCCATGAAGAACCTCGGCGTGGACTTCACTATGGCGAGGTCGGCCTCGTGGAGGGTGCTACGGCAGAGGATCGATCGCCTGAGCCAGAGGGCTGGGCGGTACAGGGCCTTGCGCAAGGCGGGGGCCAAGAGGCGCCCCAAGGTTCTCAGGACAGGAGGGCTGGCGTCCATCCTCCACGGAGCGAGGGTCAGTGGAGTACCCACGAAGACCCTGCAGCGAGCCCGAGCAATCAACGGCAGGGCCACTTCGGGCGCGTTCGGCCAGGGATCCAGGACGGTCGTCTTCGCCCTGCAGGAGGGCAAGGGCTGGAAGCACGAACCCGCCTACGCGGCGCACGTCCTACCGCTGAGGGCTTGGGCGCGAGCCGTCTTCCTGGGCGCGCGGCCCCCTGCGGTCTTCAAGCGGGTGCTGGAGCGCAGACCAGACGACTGGGGCGAGGTCACTGGGCCAGCTGGGGTGGTCCGCCTCTCGCTGGAGCGCATCGGCTGGGAGCTGTTGAATTGGCACTGCTGGAGGGACGACCGCGGGCAGATCATCGACTTGCAGCTGCTCAGCCCGCGGATGGTAGCCAGCCTGGTCGAGAATGGGGTCCACTGTCACCTCGTGCTGAAGATTGCGAGCCACGAGGGGTTCGAACATCTCCAGGGCCGCCCGCCGAGCCTGGAGCCATGTAGGGCGGCATTGGCGGGCATGCGGCGTGCAGGCAAAGTGCAGGAGGCAGCGATGGGAGAGGCACATATGGCAGGAGGGCTCGTCACGCAGTCCGACCTGTACGTTGAGAGGGCAGAGCTCAGCCCGCTGCGCCAGTGGTGCGGAGAAGCACCAGGCACGGCGCACCACAGGCTGGTCGCATGCCCCGCCATCGCCTGCTGGGCGCGCGACCTGGGTTTCCAGGAGACCGCCGACGCAGGCAGGAGGGCGCCGCAGGACGACCTGGGCCTGGTCAGGGGCCTTGTCCACCACGGGCTGGACCAAGCCCCGCCCCCAGGCATGGACGAGCTCTGCCATCGCGCAGGCAGCGCGAGGCACGGCCTCCGTGAAGGTGTCAGCTGCATCGACGGGTCCGCGATGTACCCCGAGGCCCCGTACCTGACGCGCACGGGATGGGCAGCCGTGGCGGTAGACGACGTCGGGAACACCGTCGGCGGCCTCCTCATCCAGGAGATCGGCTATGCGGAGCTCTACGCGCTGCGCAAAGTTTTGGAGGAGGTCGGCCCATCGCCCATCACGGTCTACATGGACTGCAAGGGGATCAAAGACGACCTTGAGGCGGGCCGTGAACGCTGCTGCGGCCCAGGCCACAAGTATGCGGACCTGTGGAGACGGGTCTGGCAGCGGCTCGACGACCTCGGCCCTGGCTTCCTCACGTTGACGTGGCTGCCGTCGCACACTTCGTGGGCCAGGGCCTGTGTGGCAGGGGTGCCATGGCAGGCATACGCGGGCAACAGGGAGGCAGACCTGAGGGCGAAGGAGGGCGTCTACCCCAGGCAGGAGCAGCTGAGTGAGCTGAGCCGCCGCCTGAACGCCGCCGCCGTGCAAGCAGTGGCCTGGTGCGGCCACCAGACGGGTGGCTGCATCGTGTTTTGTCGAACAGGCGGGGCCCACGGGAGTCGCCAAGCAAAGTTCCTGGCCGACCTCGGCGTCCCGCTGGCCAGCAAGGGCCGTGATGCGGCTCGCCCGGCCCGCCGCGCCCTCGAGCGCCTCAGAGCGGGGCGGGAACCCCAGACTGGCTGCCGCTGGGGAGCGGCCCCGTTCCCAGTCTCGAGGGCGGCGGCGAGGAGGGTTTAATTTTGGTTTGTTCGGACTCCAAGGGGCCCCCGCGCCAGGCCTCCTGCCTGGCGGGTCCTGGGTCTGCCGTGGAGTGTTTTGATCCCCGTTTGGGGCCGAGGCTGGTTTGCAGAGCGGACCGCCTTCTGGTAGGAACTAGAGGAACTAGAGGAGGAGGAGGAGGAGGAGGAGGAGGAGGAGAACCAGTGTAAACCCAAGACGCATCCACGACGTTGCAACGAACCCTTTTCTCCAAGTTCCCTCTACAGAGGTCCCTACAAGAGTTTACTCATTGCGGGAAATGGCCCATCAGAGGTCAATCGTCTGGGGATCCTCAATTGTGCCAAAATACCGCTCCTGGGATGTCAACGCGTCCTGACAAGCCTAAGTCGGACCAGAGCGCAACTCTTGGGAGTTTAACACCACGAGTCAACTTGATTGTTATGTCTTGACAGTTCTGTCTGAATAGCGCCAGAACGCCATTCCTGGCACTTCGACCATGCGAGTCCACGAGTTTGGTGCAAGTTTGCAGTAGGAATGTGCGCAGGGCTGAGGCGAGAGCCATGTTTGGAGAAGGAGCCGCCCTTCCTCTTTGAATATGTTGCAATGTTGGAAGACAACTGTGCGCGGCGCTGAACGAGAGCCACATGTTGAAAAGGAACCGCCAGCCATCTTTGAAACTGCTGCACTGTTGCACGACGACTGTGCGCGGCGCTAAGGCGAGAGCCACATTGTGAAAACCACCCGCCATCCTTCCGTGAAGCTGTTGAAAACTTTTGAAACGAATGTTCGCGGCTCCCAGGCGAGAGCCATGGTCTGAAAATGGCCCGCCCTCCATCCGTGAAGTTGCTGCAAGATGTTGAGCCGAATGTGTGCGCGGAGCTCAGGCGAGGGCCACATTCTGAAGACCACCCGCCCTCCACCCGTGAAGCTGTTGCTAATTGCAAGCTCCTGGATCATACGCTGCGAGGAAGTCTCGGGCTGAACGCCCGGCCCAGCCTGCCGACACGTCTGGAGGAAACCAAAGCTACTTCAACGATGTTTCAATACGCCGTCCCGTCCCAAGTCCCCGCATTCATGCCCCAGACAAGCCCTCCTTCCAACTGCAGGAAGCGCCCCTCTTGAAAGACCAGCGCAGTTGGGCCTGCCATTGAGGCGAGGGCCCCGCCTTGAAAGGGATTCGCCTGGCATCAGACGGGCGCGCAAGTAGGAACGCGACAGACAATGAGCCTGCAGTTCAACGAGGTGCCCAGCGAGATCCCCCTTTCGAAGAGGGACCGCCACCCATCCGTGTAACTGACGCACGACTGACACTTGTGGTCATGCCTTTCGAAGAAGTCTCCAGGGTCATATCATTTTGGAAAAGAATCTTCGTGAATCCATGCGCCGCTACCTGCTTTGAAGTGGTGGGCCTTTTACCTTTTTAGCGAAATCCCCAGCGAGAGTTCCATTTAGAAAAGGAGTTGGCCTCCATCCTGCTAAACGCTGCGTAGAACAACGACTGCGAGCGCCGCAGGCGAGAGCACCAATTTGAAAACGACCAATGTTCAACCCTTCAAATTGTTGCTAGATGTTCGGAATAATGTTGTTTGCGCGCAGGCGAGAGCCCAAGTTTGAAAACCACCCTCCATCCGCTAAGCTTGTGCAACGTTTTGATGCGAATGCGACCTGCGCTGAGGCGAGGACCACATTTTGAAACGACCCCTGCTATCCCTGAATGTGTTGCAAATTTGTAAGCTCATCGGTGCTCGCGGCGCTAAGGCGAGAGCCACGTTTTGAAAACGCCCTCTCGCTATCCGTGAAATTGCGAATGCTAGACGAGCGCACGCGGCGTTAATCCGAGTTCCACATTTTGAAAATGGTCCGCCCTCCACCCCTGAAGCTGTTGCAAATGTGAATGTGCGCGGCGCTGAGGAGCGAATTGAATTTCGAAAAAAGCCGCCCTCCATCCTTGAAGCTGTTGCATATGTTAGAGATGAGTATGTGTGGTGTTAAGGAGAGACCTACGTTTTGACAACGACCCGCTTCCATATTTGAGACTGTTACAATTCTAGAACGAATGTGCGCGGTGCTGAGGCGAGAGCCACATTGTGAAAACAACCTCCCCTCCATCTGCGAAGCTGCTGCAAACTTCAAGCTTCAAGGTCATGCATGATGAGGAAGTCTCAGGCGAAACGCCCGGCCCGTCCTACCGATGCGCCTGGGGGTACGACAGGACAGGGGATGGAGGAGGCGGAGGAGGAGGAGGAGGAGGAGAAAGAGGAGGTGGTGGTGGTTGCGGAGGAAGGGAAAGATGTGGGAGGGAGGGCGGGAGGGAAGAGTGAGAAGGGGAGGGAGTAAAGGGGGGGAGGGGGCGAGTGTAAGGATCCTGGGGAGAAGAGCGGCTGGCGGGGGGGAGGTCGATAGCCAGGGACCTGGCACTCGGAGGAGCACCGACGGGTTAGCGGGCCCGAGCTTCCCTGGGCCTCCCGCGCGCCCCTGGCCCGCCGGCTGCCGCCGTTGAGCAGGTGACCCTCGAGCATCACTACATCAAGTTTTTTCAGATGTACCAGGCGGGCTCTTCTCCTCCTCCTCCTCATCCTCTCCTTCCTCTCTTGGTACTGCTGCTGATATGACTGCTGCTGATGCTGCTACTGCTGCTTCCACGACTGCTGCTGCTACTGCTGTCGCCGCTTATTCAGCGACTGCTGCTGCTACATATGCTTGGCCTGCTATCCCAGACTTGCTCGTACTAGTGTTGCTGCCACCTGCTAGGTGCTACTTGGCCTAGGCACTCGTAGTAGTTGTAATGGTACTGGTACTGCTGCCTACGACTGACTCCTATTTACTGATATCACCAGATGTGTTGTGCCTATTCTGTATACTACGTCGATTCTCACTTCTGCTGTTACCACAGCGGCTGCTGCTCTTACTACTGCCCAGACGTCAGCGGACGAAGTCCTTTGGCGACGGCCACGCCGCGCGACCCTCGCGGGCGGCGCTGAGGGGTCGGGGGAAGGCCTTCCACCACCTGGAGCCAGAACCGGTTCAAACACCCAGAGAGGAAGGACCCTCCTCCACCTCTTTCTCCTCCTCCTCCTCTGAGGAGGAGGAGGAGGAGGAGGAGGAGGAGGAGGAGGAGGAGGAGGAGGAGGAAGGGCAGGAGGAGGAGGAGGAGTAGGGAGGAGGGAGGAGGAGGGGAGGAGGGGGAGGAGGAGGAGGGGGAGGATGAGGAGGAGGAGGAGGAGGAGGAGGAGGAGGAGGAGGAGGACGACGAGGAGGACGAGGAATGGCAGGGGGAGATACTTCTTCGCATGCCGCGAGAACCAAGGGTGCGAAGTGCTCGGAGCCTCTCCCGGCTTGCTCTTGCGCGCGCGATCTCGCTGGCCTCCACCACAGGGCAGCGCTGGCCGAAGCGTCGCTCGGCCCTCTCCCTGCAGGGGGCGCCGCGGGCGGCGCGCTTCGGGGGAGCGCGCCGGCTCCGGCCAGGTCTGGGGCCCCAGAGGGGCCCCCCAAAGCCCTTGTGCGCGCCCCCTCTCGGGGGCGGCCAAGAGGGGGGTGGACGGCAGGGTTCGGCTGTCGCCGCCTATCCAGGGGGCCCATCCGTTCTCGCGGGCCAGTTTCTGGCTCACCGGGCGCGGTCCACTACTCGCAGAGTGCCTCCGTGCAGACGTCCCAGAAAGAACACATACCTGCCTCCGACGCCATGGACCTGAGCTCCCTCGCGGCGGAGCCAGGCCATGTGCGAGTAATCCACGTGTGGATTAGTCACTTTGCGAGCAGTGGAGCGCGCTTGTCTATTGACGCTCGCGGGGCGCGACGAGGAGGGTCTGGGGAGGCCAGAGACAGGCGCACGTTTGGGCGGCCGCGGCCTCGCGCGCGGCGACGAGGCGAAGGTCGCCGAGCAAACACGCAAACAAACAAGGTCGGCCAAGAGGAGGGGGATGATGACTAAGGCTAAGGAGGGGGTATCACTCATGGCGGGGGCCATGATGTCTTTTCAGTGCGTCCCCAGCCCTCCCCCCCTGGGCCGTGCACATGCCGCCGGCCATGATTTGCGCTGCCCCTCTCGGACGCCCCCCTCTCGGACGCCTCCGATCCTCGCTACTCCCTCCGAGCGCCGCCGACGTCGAGAATTTAGGCCCGTGCGCCTCCGTATCGGCGTCGTCACCTCCTCCTCTTCCTCCTCTTCCTCCTCCTCCTCCTCTTCCTCCTCCTCCTACTCGAAAAGTACCTTTATATATCCTGCCTAGCAGTGTAAATGTTTGCCCCTCTTTCTGACTTCGGCCAGATTTGGGGCCCCAGAGGGGCCCCCTAAAGCCCTTGTGCGCGCCCCCTCTCGGGGGCGGCCAAGAGGGAGGTGATGACCAGGGGGGGGATCATGGCGTGGGCCGCGCACATGCCGCCGGCCATGATTTGCGCCCCCCCTCTTGAGCGCCCCCCTCCGAACACCGCCGACGTCCAGAACTTAGGCCCGCTCGCCTCCGTATCGGCATCACCCGAACATGCTTCTATGATGCGTGCGTGAGCCCCCCACGGGCGGCGGCGCGCGCTCGGAAACCTCGTAATATACGCTCGGCAGCGGGCGCTTCCTGGCCGTACCGCTCGGGTATATACAATGTGTCGTGGTGGTGCGCCTCTTCGAGGAGGGCGCATACAGTCGGGGCCCTGAAGAAGGAACCCTTTTCGTTGGGGAGGGGCTCCGCGTTCCTTAAGTGTTTCGCAGCTTGCCTCAGGTTTTCCTTCTGTTTTCGATAGCAAATCGAAATTTAACTTATGGAAAAAAGGGGCCTCGTTCCTTATTTAGGGTTCTTAGGTCAACGCCCCGACTGTAGTACTCGTAGGCCCGTCTGCGTCCCAGTGTGGGCGCCCAGAGCCCCACGCGGCCAAGGCCTCCGTGTGCCCGCCTCGCTCCCGCAGGTGGGGGGGGAGGCCGCCGCACTGCCCGCAGAAGGGGCCGCGCCCTCTGCCAGCGGGCTCCCTCGGCTGAGCCATCCTGCGGCCACAGTGCAGCAGCTTTCGGGCCAGCGCGCCGCTGGCGCCAGCGTTTTTCGACGGGCTCGTAGGCTCGAGGCCCGAGGCTTTCGGGCGTTTTCGGCGGCCCTCGAAGGTTTTCCAGCCTCGGGGGGCTTTCCACCAGCTGCGCCTCGCCGCGATCCTTCCCGAGGTGCCCGAGTCGTCCCGAACGGCCGCCAGACAGCCGAGTTGTGACCCGATGCCGTGCTCGGGGCCGTCTCGAGGTCCCCGGTGCGCCTGTCTTGCGGGCGCGCCGGGGCCCGTCCCTGCGGCATCGCTTGGGCCATGCCCGGGCGATCCTGGGCCGCACCCCGAGGGCCACCCTGAACCCTCCTCCTCCTCCTCCTCCTCCTCCTCCTCCTCCTCCTCCTCCTCTCCTCCTCCTCCTCCTCCTCCTCCTCCTCCTCCTCACCTCCCTCCTCCTCCTCCCTCCCTCCCTCCTCCCTCCTCCCTCCTCCTCCTCCCTCCTCCCTCCTCCCTCCTCCCTCCCACCTCGGAGACCACCATGGAGGCCACCTTGGGGGCCGCTGTAGACCATCCCTCGCCCGCCCCCCAGCCACGCCGCGCCGCGCCGCGCCGCGGCCTGCTGCGAGATCGTGCGCTTGGCCTCCGTCGTCCTGATGTACGTCACCGACGTGCCGCTGCTGCCCCCGGCCTAGGGCCCCCGCCACCGCCCCGACCTCTTCACCTCCTGGGGCCGCCCAGACGGGGACGTGCCTGAGATCCTGGCGCTGCAGTTTTTTTTCACGCGCCGCGCGGTTTCGATCCAGCTCGAGGACAGCAGCAGCAAGGTGGGGCTCAGGGCTCCGGTTGGTGAGTTTCTCGCGATGGTGCAGCTCTTTCGCAACGCCCGACCTCGGGGATCTGGTCGGGAGTCTCTGCTTCGCGTGTCGCGCCGCTGGCTCTGGCGCCCACGCCTCGGCATGACACGCTGACCACGCCCCGTGCCCTGAGCGTCAACGTCCCGAGATTTCCCCCGGCCTCCCGCCCCGCAGGAGCGAGGAGATACGCTAGACCCGCTCGCACGGCACAGTTCGTCGCTGGGGCCGACGCTGCGACACGCTAAGCAAGAGTTCTGGCTTCTTGAATACAAAAAGCATCAGTTGTTTTCTGTTGTTTGCTATAACTCAAAAACCCGCTTTTGAATTCAAACACCAGTTTTTGAATGCAAGAACAAGACCGTAGTAGATGGGGTCGGAGGATCGCGCAGCATCGCCGATGCAGCGGCGACGCAGAGCGGTCCAGACCTTGATGATTTTCTCGGTCGATGATTTTCTCGGTCCCGACGTCGGCGGTGCATCGCCGCCGCATCGCCGATGTTGCTTGAGTCTCCGACCCCATTTGCTCGGACCCAATCTGGGCGGCCTCCGTCACTCACCGAGCGCGTTCCACTACTCGCAAAGTGCCTACTCGCAAACGCCCGAAAAACACATGTCTGATTCGATGTAATTTCTCGTATCTCACCCCCAGCGGATCCAGGCCATTTGCGAGTAGTCACTTTGCGAGTAGTGGCACGCGCTCGTCCAGTCACTGCATTTGTGCTGAACTGAGTCGACTGGACGGAAGGGTGCTCAGCTGAAGTTCTCCAAGGCCTTTTTCATTCGCGGTCGTGCCTTGGGACACCCAGTCGGACTGTCTCCCGGGTCATTCTTGGATTCCCCTCAGAATTCTCTCGCAGCCTCTGGGAGCAGCCATGGCGCGTAAGAGTCGTCGTCGTCGTCGTCGTCGTCGTCGTCGTCGTCGTCGTCGTCGTCGTCGTCGTCGTCCCTCCTCCTCCCCCTCGCCCGCCCGCGCGCGGATGAGCGAGCGCGGAGCAGGAGGGGACAGGGAGGAGGACGGGGAGGAGGAGATGGAGGAGGAGGAGGAGGAGGAGGAGGAGGAGGAGGAGGACGGGGAGGAGGAGGAGGAGGAGGAGGAGGAAGAGGAGGGAGGAGGAGGCAGGCCTCCTGCCAGGAGGAAGGAGGATTATGTACGAGGAGGGGGAAGAGGATGATGATGATGATGGTGGTGGTGATGAGGGGTTGGTTGTAATGATGATGAGGAGGGGCGATGTGAAGGTGGAGGAATGGGTAGGAAAGGTGGTGGAGGAAGGAGGTGGAGGAGGAATGGCAGCCGAATGAGAAGGGAAGGAGGAGGAGAAAGAAGATGATGAGCGGGAGGAGTGAGGAGGAGAAGGAAGCTTTGGAGGAGGAGTGGAGGAAGGAGGAAGATGAGGAGGTTCGAAGAGGAGGATCAGGATTAGGACTAGGATTAATCTTAGGATTAGGATTTGGATGCTGATGATGATGTTGATGCTGACGATGGTGATGGTATGATGATGACGATAGTAATAATGATAATGATGATGGTGGTAACGATGAGGACGATGATGCTGATGATGATGATGATGGTTGTGACGATGATGTTGCTGATGACGATGCTGACTCTTGTTATGGTGTTCATGTGGTGATGATGATGATGATGATGAGGATGATGATGATGATGATGATGATGATGATGATGATGACGATGACGATGTTGATGATGATGCTGATCTTGCCGATGATGATAGTGATGGTCATGGTGATAGTGATGACGATGGCGATGGTGACGACGACAACGACGACGATGATGATGACGATGATGCTGATGATGATACTGATGATGGTGGTGACGATGATGCTGCTGATGACGATTATGATGCTGATCCAGATGCTGACTATGCTGCTGCTGATGGTGGTGGTGGATGTAATGATGATGATGCTGATGATGATGCTGATGATGATGGTGATGGTGATGGTGATGGTGATGGTGATGGTGATGATGATGATGATGATGATGATGATGATGATGATGATGATGATGCTGATGTTGATGCTGATGCTGATGCTGATGCTGATGATGATATTGATGAATATGCTGATGATGATGCTGCTGATGATGATGATGATGATAATGATAATGATCATGATTATCATGCTGAAGACGATGAATGAAGAGGCGGAGGAGGAGGAGCAGCAGGAGGAGCAGGAGGAGGAGGAGGATGAGCAGGAGCAGGAGGAGGAGGAGGAGGAGGAGGAGGAGGAGGAGGAGGAGGAGGAGGAGGAGAGGGACGAGGAGGAGGAGGAGGAGGAGGAGGAGGAGGAGGAAGAGCAAGAGCAGGAGGGGGAGGAGGAGGAAGAGAAGGAGGAAGAAGAGGAGGAGGAGGAGG